GATGGGTATAACAATTTATAATTGGAAAAATATGGCAACATTCTACATGCTGGAGAACAAAAGGAGACTGATAACTTTTCTCTAGATAATCCAGATTATTAATGCATATTTCCACAGAGGTGGCTAAAAATATATAGTTTTTAAAAAATCTGATTTTTTATATTTTGTTTAATATTACTTGTCATATATTTTGTTTGGTGTGACTTGAGTCACATATCTTGTTTGGTCAGGTTTTTTGTTGAAGGATATAGGTATATTCAATATCACTGTTAGAGTGTAGAAATAATTTTCTTTAAAACAAATTGTTTTAAAATTAATTATGTTATGTTGATTTAATTTCATCTCAAGTATGAAATTTAATTGAAAATATTTAGTAATTTTATTATGAAAAACTTTCCAAACACCATAATGACTTCGGCTATAACTTGAGATACATTTTTGTGCATAAAATTGTATATATAACATCCAAGAAACAAGTTACACCAAACAGATTTTGTCAAGAATTGACTATTGTCAACTGAATAATCTAGGTTTTATTGTAAATAATTTCTATACATTCAAGAATAAATTACTGTTTCTACTTCTCATCAGACTTTTCCATTCCTAACCTGGTACTTTAGTACTATAGCTTCATAGACTTTTCCATTCCTAACCACGTACTATAATAGTATAGTTTCACAGACTTTTCCATTCCTAACCAGGTAATATAATACTATAGGGTCATTCTTATATTATTCGACCCTTTAGCATTTCTGAATCTAGCAATTTGGGTTGAAAAAAAATCAACTTTTTGAAGAAAACTTGATCTGAAATATTAGTTTAAATGTCCTCGATAACATACTTGCTTGGTGTAGGGAAGTGGTGACCCCACTGCCCAGTCATTGTACTGCAGTCAGCAACTGCTTCCCAGTTTGGGGGAACCGTACACAATTGCAGCACACTATAAGCAAGGTTACATACAGTATACACCCTAGGAAGCTGCCCCGGTTGGGGATGCAGGTCTGCATGCATTGAGATGGCAGTCCCGTGAAACCCATACCAGCCTTGGATGTGATCAGTCTTAAAGGAAAACGACCTGGCACCCCCCCATAGGATTCTTAACTTTGGATTTTGTCTCTTTATAGACCCGGAGCATTGAAGCTGATCTTAGATTAACTCGACAAGTACAAGATTGACATATAAAGCAATACGTTAATAAACTGGTATGTTGTAAGGATAAAGAAGGTAACTTGGTGACAAACAAGTCTGGTGTTCTTGACGAATGGAAGAATTATTTCAATAATCTTCTCAACTCGAGTGAAGAAGACATCTTTGATGAAGCAAGAAATCAACAGATTACAGGTGGGGAACAAGAGATAGATCTTGAACCACCCGATGAAGACGAGATTGTAGCTGCCATTAACAAAGTCAAAAACAATGACAAGGGGATACGCTAGCCTGCATGTTTTTTAACCTAGCACTTGATGCTTTAACCTAGGCCGTATGTGATCTGGTTGATGCTGGTTTATGTGAACGACAAGGAAACATATTTGCCAGGCTTGTTCAACTGTTTGCCTACGCTGATGATATAGACATTGTGGGATGCTCTTTGCAGGCCGTGACTGATGTTGTTCTGTCATTGGCTGGTCCTGCCAGCAGACTTGGACTGGAAGTTAATGAGTCAAAAACAGAATATATGGTAGCAGATGAAATTCCCATGCCAGGCGAGACAGTCACTATTGGGCTTCATAAATTTGAGAAGGTCTCGGAGTTTACTTATCTGGGATCTGTGTTCATTCAAGATAATAATCCATATATAGAGATTAGAAGAAGGATAACATCAACCAACAAATGCTACTTTGGATTAAGCAAGCAGCTAAGCAGACGGATACTTTCGAGACAGACCAAGCTCCACCTCTGTAAGACATTGGTGCGTCCCGTACTTCTTTATGGATCAGAGTGCTGGACAACTTCAAAGGCCATTGAAAAGGAATTCCTTATTTTTGAAAGAAAAGTTCTCTGCAGTGTTTTCGGTGAAGTGAAAGTTGGAGAGAGAGGAAGCGCCGTGTGAATCATGACCCTTACAATGCTTTTTGAGAACCTGATATTGTGAAAGCAATGAAGTTGAGGTGCTTAAGGTATGCAGGGCATCTTGCTAGGATGGCAGACGGAGAAATACCTAGAATATTGCTTACACAGCCAATCCATGGAACAAGGAGAAGAGGGAGAGTTAGGAAATGGATGGTGTCGGCACAAGACCGTGACAATTGGAGGAGGCCAAGACCTGTAACTGGGTTGTAGAGCCATGAAAAAAAGAACAACATAAACTTGAGCTTCGATAGTTAGTTTTTTTAAAGTGTTAATAATTTTTTTAAACCATAAGTTAATTAATATGGACTTAAAACTTATTAAACAAGTATGTTTTTCTTCAAACAGTTTAAATAAACAAACTTTATAGTATATTGGAAAAATATGATGGCTATGAATATAATAATGATAAAAGTAAACCATAAGTCGACATGAGAAAAATTAAAAAACAATTTTCGTTTTTTTCATCTATTCCTATAAGAAAAACAACTAAAATCCTCTTCCTGTTCTCAAAATGTTTATAATAGAAATACTGATATGATCAATTGGCAATAGGAACAATTAAAATAAATGATATTAAATTTTTAAGAATAATAGTAACATTTGTTATGTTTTCATACAAAATCCCTGTTACTGATTTAACCAAATGTTGGATAGATATGAAACCTTAACCATTAATAAATATCTCAAAACTACTTATTTTGCAATTATCATCCATTATTTTAATTGAATAATGTTAAGTAAAATAATGGGAACATTTGTTATGCATAATTTTTGTGAAATAGCATGTTTTGGAAGAAAAATGGAATGTCTCCAGTCAGCTCTTTTATGCCTCAAAATTGCACCACAAACAGATTTTTAAAACCATTTTCCATCATATTAAATGAACAGTTTTGTAAAAACAAGTTAGTTGAACATTTGTTATGTTTTTCTCCAAATTTTGGGGACAAACCAACTTCACAATAATAGTATTTGAGATAACTAAAAAAGGTATCTATAATTCAATATTATAATAATACCATTATATAAGAGTAAAATTCACAATGGTTAAAAATTGATGGATACAGATTATGTCATACCAAAGCATGAAGAACTGCCCATCCTCACCTTGGGGACGGTAACATTTGTTATATTCACATTAAGATATTTCTTCTTGTGGTTGGGGTAGATTTATTATTTTATTAAGGTAGATAGTTTATTTTAATACTAATAGGCCAGTGCGAAAAATTCGCACAGCATATTGTTATCAAATGCCAAATTAATAATAAAATAAAATAATGCAACGTATCAAAAGATAAAGAAATCAAATGTTACTTTATCGATAAATATAATAGACAAAGAAAACAAAAATTAATTTAAATCTTCATTTTTGGTTGGAACCAACATGTTTACAAATTTCAGTAAGATGTATCTTTGCTAAAAATTGTCCGATTTCGATGATTTTTTTTTCCGTTTGTAGGGAATTTAGTAATCTTTCATATAATCATGGGCAAACTCCAGAGAAAAGAGTGTAGTTTTTTATTTATTCGCAAATAAAATTTGTTTTCATTCATAACTTGTTTGCCTGAATTTTCGGGGTGATTGGACTATTTTGCCCGCCAGAAGGAGGAGGAAACCTTCGAAATTGGTGGCTCAATCTTGAGATTTGATGAAAATTTAACGATAATATGGCTTGCCGATCAAAAACACCATCCATAAATAACATAAACTCCTCCTCTATCATAGAGACCTCAAGTCGACGAAATGAGACATGTATTCAATGACAGTACTACAATTAATGTAAGGTTGTGTGGATGCGAACCTTATGCCTTGCTTATCTCGAAAATAGTACGTTTTTGGGCTTAAAAACGCAGGACGCATCAAAATCTTCAAGATCCAATTTGTCCCGTATCGATCTACAGACCTACCACTGTTCCAGTATTGAAGCCTAGCAATACTGTCCTTTAGCAATAGCAAGTATCAACTTTTTTTATTTTAGAAAGAAAAACAAAAGCGGAGAATACGATTCGCTAACACCCCGTGAAATTCTGAATCCAACGGTACCCCATTCATGATATTTGAGCACGACAGGAGCTTATATTTGGTACAAAACCGATTTCGAGCCTTACTGCAATAATATATGTGGATTATCATTTTATTCCTTAGAAACAATACAAAAAAATAATACCGTTACTTTTTTTCAACCTGAAAAACATGTAAAATACTAATGTAAAGCTCAGGGACATCAAATGGTCAAATAATTTAAGAATGTCCCTTTGCTTCACAGAATTTTGCATTCTTTACCAGATAATATACATAGTACTATAGCTCCACATCCTAACCAGATACTTCTCCATTCCTAACCAGATAATATACATAGTACTATAGCTTCACAGACTTCTCCATTCCTAACCAGGTAATATACATAGTACTATAACTCCACAGACTTCTCCATTCCTAACCAGGTAATATACATAGTACTATAGCTTCACAGACTTTTCCATTCCTAACCAGGTAATATACATAGTACTATAGCTCCACAGCGTTCTCCATTCCTAACCAGGTAATATACATAGTACTATAGCTTCACAGACTTCTCCATTCCTAACCAGGTAATATACATAGTACTATAGCTCCACAGACTTCTCCATTCCTAACCAGGTAATATACATAGTACTATAGCTTCACAGACTTTTCCATTCCTAACCGACCAACTATAGTTTCTCCGCCCGCTTTAATTATATATAGAGTTGATTTGATGATAAATATTTCTTGTATAGGCTCTAATAACCAGGCACTATAGCTTCACCGCCCGCTTTAATTATACATAGACTTGATTTGATAATAAATATTTCTTGTATAGGCTCTAGTAACAATGAATGTTTAGCACGCTTATGTAATGAATGAGGACTCTTCTCATTTGACCTATTAGCCCTAACTAACACTGGCTGTAGATTTCGTAGTTTGACTACCTCCTTCTATCGCGAGTCGATGGGGTTTTTGCTCCTGTTTGACCTCACCAACGAACAGTCCTTTCTCGACGTTCGCGGGTGGCTTGAGCAGCTTAAAGTAAGTATTTCTAAAATTATTTCTATTTTACCACATTTTATTCTCTAAATTTTTTTTTTCTTTTTACTGAGAAATGTTTATAACTTTCTATTTTGCTTTTCATTAGAAATATAATGTTTATTGCTTTTGCACAGTTAGACATTCTTTTTTTTTTTTGTTTTTGATAAATATTGTAAAAAAAATATTAGTGTATATTGTTTTAATTTTTTTGTTAAAAATTAACTTATCTTATGGAATTTTTTGTTTATTCACAGTCAAACTTCATTAATCATTATCTTTCAACATTGTTTGATTGCATTTAAAATTTATTTTACAGTTAGCTGTTCCATTTATTTTTCAAATTATTGTTTTAAACTAATGCTTATTTACTTGTATTATTAAAGATATTGAAGCAATGTCACTAATTTCTCATAAATGAAAATATTTACAATAGACAGTATTTAGTAACAAATATATATATTAAAAACACTGTTACAAACTTTCACTTGGGCAGGAAGCGCAGTAACAAATAAAAATTAGTTTATTTTATTTCTAATTTTAGTCTGTAATTAAGTACTTGCTTTTCAACTCTAATGATGCTTTACTTTTAATTCTAATGATCAATGGTTTCAATAAATGAATTTTTATTAATTTCTTCTGTAAATAAAAATCTTTTGAAATATTCTACATATGTGAATATATATGCTTCTGCTGAGAAACTAAGTGAGTTAAGATTTCAGGGAAGGAAGTTGCGATACCACTCGGTACTGATTGAAGTAAAAACTGTGAACAAATAATAATAAACGATTTGCAAGTAAATAAATTTTGCAATTTAAATGTAACTAACATTTTCTTCCATTATTTCTTCTTGTATTTAATTTTTTCTAGTGATAATAGGCCTCCAATAATTACATTTCTTTACACATCCTCTCTCATATTTACGCCACCAAAATTGTTGATGTTTCTGTTAATAACCATATATTTTGTTTAAGCTGCATTAAACTTTAGGTGCATTTCTTCAATAGCTTTCATAAATGTAATTTTATTTATCATCACAATATTCAAGAATGAATATCTCACCATCTAAAGTCAAACATTTTTCTGTACGAATTATCTTTCTTACTACATATTCTATAGCTGAACTTACCAACACTATATATGTACTTAAGTAAGTATTCAAATATCTTAAGACAGAACGGCAAGTTTGTCGATGGATTATGAATAATCTAGTGTAATCATAAAATGGATCAGGCTTCTTGGAAGTTTTTATTATAAATTTTTAGTGTTCTAAACATTTTTGAAATATATTTTGGGTATACTAAAATTTGTATTAACAATATTAGAAGATTTTGTAGAGGTGGTATCAATTTTTTTAAAAACATCACTTTTTGGATTTAGGGAACCCTAAACTTTGCAAATATAGTGAGGTTTTAGAAAGTTCAGTTTATGGGACTATGTTTATCTTAATGGCTCTTTCCAAGATTAGTTGCCAATTTTAAGAATCGAATTTAAAAAAATTTAAATTAATCAAAAGGTTAGAGATTTAAAAAAAAAATTGTTTAAGATGTCCTGCTGATCGATTAGCAGTCATTAAATGATTTAGTAGAATGCAACACACTTCTCCTTAAATTTTTCAAATTCAAAATTTATGCTGTTGAGAAATTTTTTGTTGCTCACAATTCAATCTTACTAACAGTAAATTATAAAAAGTTATTTTTATGCTTTAAGAAAAATTGACATTGGTGATTATTCTAATTGAATAATTATTTAAAAAAAAAATTAATAACTTAATTTTAGACTCTAAATTTTCAAATTTTAAATTAACTTTTGAAAGATCAGATTCAGGTAACCAAGATTTTTCTTAAAAACCTTACTGTTGATTAATGAATTAAAAGCAAACAATGTTTAACCATTGTTTATATTTATGTTGCTCATTGCAAACTATTTCATCAGAAACGTGCTAAAATCAATTTCTGCCTCTAAAGCATCCTATCTTATTTCAAGGTTCTTCTCTTCTTATAGTATCAATTTTCAATATTCTATACAGTAACAAATCTACCTCATTCATCATAGTATTCTTGTACCAAAAATATGAAAATTTTCATGATTGTAAACTTTTGGTATAAATATTGTTTAGCAATTATTGATTTATCTGTCCAAATTATGAACAAAACCCTCAATGCAAACTGTTGGATGGAAAGTCAAATTGGCACACAATATTTACGTGTGATATTGAATAACAAATCTTGGGTCACCCTTTTTTCTCCTATATTGGTATTTTTTTTTGTCCATTCATTTTAGGGAAATAGTAATTTCAAGATTTAAACCTATTGCTTTATAATGTCAAAATTTCTAACCAGAAATCATACACCTCATTAGAAACTTAATTAAAAAAATCATCAACTAAGACTCACGACAATTATGATTGTGATGTTTTTGAAGTTTCTAAGATGATGCAATATCAAAATAGATTGATATTGAAACTTTTGTTAAATATTATATTATCAACTATAGCTATAATAGTTCAATATAACCAACTTAGAGTATATTGAACGGCTTAGTCAAAAGAAATTACAAAAAGTAAAGTAAATTGAGACTGGATTTGTATTTTGGCAAATAATCTTAGAATAAGCAGTATAATATTGCTTAAAGTATACTAAAATTAGTTAAGTTTAAGTATGTAGTAATATTTATCATTATATATTGCATTGACTCTGTATTTGAAGACGAGTGGAACGGCTTGGTGGACAAGACCGTATCTTTTAAGGTTCTTCATGGTTTGTATGCATCTCTAGATCCTTTCTTGAAGTTTCATTTTCCTCATTTAGCTTGAATAAACAAGGAACTGTATCTCATCCTTCGTTCCAGTTTAGTAAAATGCATGTTACCGATGGTGAGGTAAATTTAGTAAAATGCATGTTAAATCCAGTTTGATATCAATCTTAAGTACTTTAAATTATTTGTTTATTAAGAAAAACTTTCTATATTTCACCTTGCTTTATCAAATACTAGTCCATGTTATGTATCAATAGTATCGTAGTTTAAATATTTATTCAACATATAATTAAGTTTGTTTCTTAGCCTAAACATATTGTTAATTATTGTTGTTTATTTCAAATTGATGCTATATAACATTTACTATTAGGTATTGGAAGACTGACAAATCTGGAAAACTGACAGTAAATTGTTTTCAACACTAAACAAATTAGCATTTCAATATCAATCAAATTAATATTATTCGGATATTTTAAAAATTAATTTCTCTTCATATTCGGTTTAGCCAAGCAACTGTTAATTAATTTTCTCAAAGTAATTTATATTTTAATTTTGATTATTTTGTTTTTCGGAAACTCATCTCATCATTTTTGGACCTATATTCAACATTGATAAGAGACCAAATTTATCATACTCAGAAATATTTCAAAGGATCAGGGGCACCCACATATTTCAAAGGGGTTATGAATTTTCAGAATGAAAAGTATCCGAATAAGGGAAAAGTAGAAAACATGGAACAGACTGCAGCCAGTGTAGTTGTGTATGGTCTATGATTTTTCTAATTCAACTTTCCTTGATATGTTTTTAAGAATATGTGTGATAAAATATTTTGAGTGGGGAGGGGTTAGGTTCTTGGGCCATTGATCTTGGGGAGATTGCACCCATACCCATGCAAAGGATATATTAATCTCAGTCTCAACAGTGATATATTTTATTATGAACTTCAACCTTTTTAACTTAATTAACCTTATAAACTTTTTAATAGTAGAATGTGCATGGTAGAGTTAAAAAAAGACCCATTTCAATGAAATTTACAGCAGCTTTATAAGTACTAAAACTTTAATATAACTTCTTAAATATTGAAGTTTACTTATCCAATATTTTGTTCTATGAAATAAATATTTCAGGTCATATTTATAATAATTACATAACATGTTATGTTTCTCTCATAAATTTTTGCTTCCTCACTACCGTAGGTAGGGAAGCATTGTGTTTCTGCGTGAGGTTAAAAAAAAATTGTCCTCAGAATCCATAATTTTCACTCCCGTTTTACGTTTCAGACAAGGATCAAATTTGGTTCGGTCTGTATTCAAATCGATGTGACGGGCATATCACCTAGTGTACCTTTCATCCGATTTTCATGAAATTTTCAGTGATTGTGCGCGTTGGTGCCTAGATGGCTCCATATCAATTTTATCAAATTCCATTTAGCACTTCCGCTTTACGCACGCGCTAACCTAATTTTTTAGATATGCCAATATTTCAGAAAGGGCTGGTTCGATTTGGCTGAAAGTTGGAAAAAGGTAGGTAATGATGAAAAAATAACGTAATGTCAATTTTATTGAATTCTGTCCACTAATTTATCTTATATATGAGCAAACGTGTTTTCCTTGATACATCCACATCTCTAAAACCGCATGTTGGATTTGGCTCAAATTTGGAGTTGTTAGGGATTGGTAAACAGGAAATCATGTAGGTATTAATTTTATCCAATATTCCTAAAAAAATACTTTTGCTTTCGGACCAGTAAAAGTATTATTTGGAAAGTCTATAGTTTGAAAATTGCGTGTTCAATTTGACCCAAACTTGGAGGAATTTAGGAGAATAGTGTAGAAATTACCTAGTATGAATTTCATTGAGTCCTATTTAATAATTAAAATTAATATAAATAATTGTTAACAATATAATGGCAGTGAAATGTCAAAGACACTGATCATATGGAGTGGAAGTTAGGTTAAGACGATATTTTTATGGGGTTATAAAATTTTGGGTTTTATTCAAAGAGTTAATTTATACTGTATTGTTTCGTCGATTCCAAACGTTACCGACTTAGATTTCGATTAATTAACATGATACTTAGATTTCGTGTAATTTTCAATAAATTAATTTTTACTCTGAGTTAGTTTTTACAGAATAATCTTATTTGTGGTTGTGTTTATTTCTATTTAAGTTCAACTAGCTCGTCGTGGTATCGAGTTTCTGTGTGATTTTTACATATAATGTTGATGTATTTGGGTTACATTGATACTAGTGGTATATAATGATTGCCTGGGTAAGGGATACTTATCCAAATTTTGTAAGATTGTCGATCTGAGACTTTTCGGTCTCTTCCTTGCCTTTTAGGCTTCACAGGTTTTTCCCAGGTCGGGGGAGAAGGAAGGGGGAATAATGCTGAGTTAAATCTTCTGCCGGCCACTGAGAAACGAACTCTTAATTATTTTTGTATCTCAAATTTCGGTTATTAGGTTGCCGGGCAACTCACAGTGCTGTGCACACATGGTAGCCCGGTAGGCCACCCCGCTCCCCTAGTCAATCTGAGACTTCTCTACATGGAAATCGAAAGGAGTAAGCAGCTCCCTAAGTCATATCGGTAGGTCTGTATTTCTCCTCCCTGTGATGGCTAAGGTCCTGGAGAACTCATTGTGATCAGTCTAGTACAATTTTATACAAGAGCAAGTAGCCTATAGTAATGCAGCTTTATGAATGACGAGGGAACCACTGATGTCCTGCTTTGAGTATGCATGAAAAAAAAAAAAGAGGGAATAGCTTAGCTGTATATCCTGTTGATACTCTTGGGCATGTCTGGGGGGCATCCCCTGCCTAGGACCAAAATCTCTTGCACCAACAGAAGAGCATGTTGTCAAAAATTCATCAAACCAACATGTGTCACAATGGCCTATATCCCATAAGGGTCATGCAGGTGGGAAGGGTACCTCTCAACATCTTTCTGCGGGAAGATGAACTATGATTTCAAGAAAGAGGGATGGTCTATCAGGAAATCTCAAGATGAGAATTGATGGGGATCCTAGCAATTGGAAAAACATTATTAATTGTATTCTCTACAATTAAAAAATAGAACCAGTGATAGATGACACTCCCAAAATGATCTTCCTTGAGGGAGTATCTCCCATTGTCTGACCATGTTTAGAAGCTAAGTGAACATAGGTGCTTTCGAGCCAAGCTTCAAGGTCATAAAATGAATAAGTTCAAAGTACTAATTGTGGGCGGGGTGGCCGAATGGGCTAAAGCATGTGCACTGCACCGCCGTTGCCCGGCAACCAGATATATGAATTAAAGATATAAAAATAGTCACGAGTTCGCGTCCCGGTGCCGAGGGAGTCTTGTAAATCCCCGCCCACACTCCCCGGTCCGGAAAAATCCCGTATAGCCTTAACGGAGAGGAAGGGAAGGACCAAAAAAAAAAAAAAAAAAAAAGTTCAAAGTAAGAAGGGCTAACTTGCTGAGAAAAACCGGTCGTTTCACAGAATCTCAGTTAGTCACAATGAAGTTATATGTATATGCATCCTACTACTATAAGGACCTGTATTTTCTAAAAGACATGATAGGGTTTTAAATAAATATATCTGTTGACAGAAAAGTTGTTGATCTTGTAAGGGAAAAAATCATAGTTTGACAGACATTTTCTGGTTCTGCCTGCCAATTAGTTCAAGTGTTCCTGTAAATTAGTTAAAGAACAATTTTGGAGCAACAAAATGCCAACTACACCACTAGCGGACCCAGGATTTAATTTTGGGGGGGGGGCTTGAGCCCGAAACCTTTTTTTTCATAAAAATAACGATAATTACTTTGGAAAAACAGAAAGAAACTAACTACCTATATGAAATGGTATTTAAGTTATTCCTTAAGTGCTATTAAATGTAATTACACCAAGAATATAACTTTAAGAGGTATTTAAAAAAAAAATTGCTCATAAAACATGGTTATATTTTTCCATTTTGGGGGGGGGGGCTTCAGCCCGAAAGCCCCCCCCGTAGATCCGCCCTTGAACTACACTGTCTCCCAACCATACCATAAAGTTAAGAATCAAATCAGATGCAATGGAATGTAGTTTTTAATATAATAAATGAAATAATTAGCTTTCTAGCTGTATCTTAAAGTTTTATCTAGGTGAATTTATAGAATATAGGCCATCTTATGAAGCCAAATTAAATGGCTTCACCTATTTCTTATTGCCAGTAAGCCTTCAGTTTTAATCATAACAAATCTAATTTTTTTAATAATGTTAAATTGTATCCAATTTTGAAATAATTTCTATGCTAAGACCATAGATATATATTGGGTTGTCAAGAAAATAATGCAGGATTTTGACTTTTCTTTAAAATACCTCTCTATATAACAAACTGTTTACGTTTACTGGAATATTCATTTCTATGAATGTCACCACTTATTAATCCTCTTCCAAACGATAATGTTTATTTACATCTGTAGCATTTCGCTGCTTGGAAATAATTCAGTCTTTACTAAGATCTCAACACATAATTTTCATATAATTTTTTTTTACGAGTTTAAACTCGGTCGAACTGGGGTCCCGAAACATTGATCAAGTCTGGGGTGAGAGTAGTATCAATGAATGCACTATTCAACGGTGGTTCAAAAAAATTTCTGGGAGGAGACTTCAGCATTGAAGACAAAGAAGGTTGTGAAAGGACTTCCTCTATTGATGACGATTTACTGCAGACGTTGGTGGAAGAAAACTTAACCTTAGCAAATAGACGGTCGATGACCACCTCAAGACGATAGGAAAGGTAAAAAAAGCTTGAAAGTTGGGTTCCACACACATTAAACCACCACCGAAAAATCCAGCATGAGGAAGTTATTCTTCTTTGTTGAAACAAAAATGACCCTATTCTATCCAGAATTGTTACTCGTGATGAAAAGTGGATACTTTACAATAACAAAGGAGAAGCAGCAGAACATTTTTCAACGCCGACAACTCATGAAAAAGTCATAGTTATCGTTCAGGCTTCATTTGGTTTGATACACTACAGTTTCTTAAATCCTGGAGAAACCATTAATGCTGAATCGTATTGTAACCAAATTACTGCAATGCGTCAGATATTAGCTCTAACGAAGCCATCTTTGGTATATGGCTGGCCCGGCCACATGTCTCACGTGTAACGTCACAAAAACTGTGTAGCTTGGATATGAAACTCATCCAAATCCGCCTTACTCTCCGGACCTCTCGCCTACGGATTATAGTTATTTTAGTTACACTACTAAAAATAACACTAGTTATTTGACAAAAAATTTAATGGACAAAGGGAATTAGAAAATGCGTTTTTGGAATTTATCAATTCTATTCCAGGAAATGGAAAAGTTGCCAACACAGCAGAAAGGTATTGATAGTTGCGGAGACTATTTTGATTAAATAAAGCAATTGTAAATCTTTCATTTTTTCTTTTTAAACCAAAATCCTGCATTATTTTCTAGACAACCCAATATTAAATATTTTAGAGGATATGCAAAGACTTGCCAATTATAGTAGATGAAAACATTGTTTCATCAGCATTAAAAATATTTTGTTTGAAGAAAACTCTGGTTTAACAGGTTCACGCCTATTGTGAGATGCCTGACATAGTTCTTTGTGGCAATAAAGCCGACCTTGAAGAGAAACGAGTCATCAGCCCAGGCAGGGCTAGGGAAGCAGCAAAACAGTTAGGGTAATTCTTTTTTTCTTTGTTAACTTCATATTATTTTACTATCGATGGTTATCTCATTACATTTTAAACTAGCAAAAAAACCAAATTATATTTTGTTGTATTTTAGTAAAAGGCCATTTGGTCACCATTTTCTATATTTATTTTATCATTTCACCAATGACATTTCAGCTAAAACTACAAACATTCTCAAGTATGGAAAAAGTTTTTATATTTTGACTAGATCCTTTTTTAATAAATAAAAATTAAAAACATTAACATTATCATGGATCGAAAAACCTGGTCTCGAGTCTTGGTCCCCTTCAGCAGCTTCCACCAATTGTTCCAGTCCTATGCAGATCTCATCCAGTTCCTTCTTCCGAGAATAACTCTTTCATTTTCAGACACACCATCAAACTAATGCAGTCTAGGCCTTCCTTTCCTTCTTATGCTAAGGAGCTTTTTTGGTATTTCCTCCTCTTCCATTCTTGCATGTCCTGCTCCCCTTAGCCTGCTCAATTTGATGATATGTACGACATTAGGTTTGGGGGATATGGCATATAATATAATTCCTGGTTGGAGCATCTTCTTCATTGTCCAACAGCTTGAACTCCTCCATATATTCTTGGGAGGATCTTCCTTTCATATATTGGAAGGTCCCACTCATCATTTTGGGTGTGTCCATGTCTCACCACAACCATAGAGGAGAACTGGCCATATCAAGGTTTTGTATAACTGGACAAAGATTGGATAGACAAGAGATAACTACAAAACTCCTTGCATAAGCTGAAAAAGCAGCGATTGGCATTTATAATTCTCTTTTTAATTTCAGCTGATACATTATTATTACTTGCCACTAATGACCCTAAATAAGTAAACTCGGTCACTTTATTGAAATAGTATGGGCCAATGTTGACAATATCTTCAGGTCTTGTATCTTCCATCACCAGGTACTCTGTCTTGGTTTTGTTGACTTCTAGGCCAAGTCTTTTTGCTGGTCTTATCGATGCCAGGAATGATTCTGTGACGTCCACGTCCCTCATTGAGTGTCTGATGATGTCAACATTGTCTGCATAAGCTAGAATCTGAATATGTTTATTAAATATTGTCCCTCCCACAACCTTGTATTTCTGCTTGCCTAATTGCATATTGCAGGGCTAAGGTAAACAGAAGACAGGCTGATGCATCGCCCTGGCAGAGAATTCTTCAGAATACTCTTCGTCCTGGTCCTGGAGTGTTTTGTGCACAATCTTTAATAATGCCAATACATGCCAACCACCATTTTTTAGCAATTCATCACCGACGGGAAAATTAAAAACAACAAATTTTAATTCTTTATTTGAAATATTAACATATATAGTAGAAATCAAACAAAATAGTAGAATCAGATTCCTTGACCTCAGTATAAGTACATAGAAATGAAATAGACCTACTTGTCACCTCCTGGTGCAAAAAAATTAATAACATAATAATAAAAATACAATGCTAAAAATTAAAAAAAAAATTAATAACAAGCAATAGAATTCTAAACTGGCATAGCACTCACATTTGCGACACAGAGACCCAACTTCTCTTACCTGCCTGCTGACACCTGGGATTTACACAACAAGGGATAGATTTCAACACAGAGAGTCCCATAGTTTGCATAGTTAATATTTAGCTTGGTGGATCCTCACTGCCCATCCTAACGTGTCCTGCTCATCTCAGTCTTGCTATTTTCATCACTCAAACTATATCGGACTCCTTAAGCATTGTGTACTGCTCCTGGGATATGAACTTGTCGGTGAATAATACACGGCTCCAGTTTGTGTAGGTATTCCTTTGCAAATGTCAAACGCTAAACTCAGTACTTCCTGGAATGCAGGTGTTCAATTGCTGAAGAATGGAACGCCAATCCACACTCATTTAGTCGTCTTAAAAATACTCATCATTATTCCAGTTTTTATTCTGGTCTCATTTGTGCAAAACTACTAGAGTTTAAGGCATTTTTCATGTTTTCATTCGAAAAACAAATTCAAAATGGCTGTTTAGAAAAACTGAACCTTAAACATTTTTTTACTATGAATTCTTAAACCTTCATAGAATTCTCAATTAAATATGAAATAATTGGTAAAAAAAATTATAAAAATCAAAAATGTTAAGCAACAAAATTAATTCCAATTAAGTTGATTTCAAATAGATTGACCCAGTACTGTAAACAATATTATGATACAATAGAATAAAATAAAATAAATATTATAACAAATGAAGAAAAATATTGACTTGCGGAACGTTAAAGAATTGTTCAAAAAGGTAATAATATACATCTATATAAAAGTTTATAGGTATTAGTAATACAAACAAATCCTTATTAAAATTAATATTGTTAACATGTAAATATAAAAGTGACAGTGTCATTTGTAAATTATAAAAATTCAATTTTTTTATTTGAATTAAAAATGGCAAAATATGAAAATATTTTGCAGACTTGATAGTGGCTCTAGTTTTAAGCCTACACATTGTCATTAACATTACAAAAAAAATATTGAAGTTGTTGATCAAATGAACAAAATATAATTTGAATGTGATACCAAGAATAGGAAACATACATAGAAGAAGAAGAATATTTCAATAATTTCAAGATTTGTTGATCTATTGTATATAATTATTTTTACAGTATCCCATATGTTGAAACAAGTGCTATGACGGGCCAGAATGTGTCCACATCAATTGAACTTCTTTTGGACCTTGTGATGGCTCGTATGGAAACTATCGTGGACAGAGCATTGCAACCTACCAAGGAACCTCTTGTGGATAGAGTGTTGTCACCGAACATGGATACTGTTCATCTTGTTGACTCAGACAAGCAAAGCTGGTCCAAATGTTCCTGCTAGTACCCTCGAATAAACTACGAGGCTAACTTTTAATGTCTTTGGATGTGCAAACTAGAAAGGTTTTCTCAATTTGGTAGTTTAAGTTTTAAGTTACAAACCTAAGTAATGTACCTAAATTAGATAAAAAAGATCATTTTTAACACTATTTTTGGATAATCATAATTTAAATGGAATTGTGAGTTGAAGTCAGTTTTTTAAAATTAACAGAAAAACCTCAACGAGGCACTAAACAATTAGAATAACAATATTTTTTTAAACCTATTCCTTGATATTTAAAAAATAGCTGACTTTAAATTTCTTTTTTTAAAAGACAGTAGTTTGAGACTCTGAGGTGCCAATTATCAAAGTTTTATAATTTATCCAAAGATCTTAGAAAATATCAATTTGTTTTTCTAGTTATTTAAAGAAAGTTGATAAATTTATTTTTCAATTTTTCTCCCTGCAGATGCAGTACAGTGCCTTTCTTAAGAAAGAATTGAAATGCAATAAGACTCTTCTTAGGCCTAACCATTTTTTCTCAGTGAATTAGATTTCCTAAAAATGTTTTTAAAAAGCAACTTTGCTTGTCCAGAAATCGAAGAATGTTAATTTAGATAATAAATAAAACTTAAATAATTATTTTTGCCATCAATGGAGTATAATATAAATTAATTGAGTGAAAACCTTTTCAAGAAGTGTTTATGTTTTCCATTTTTTCATCAGGTATTTCACAACTTCAACAGGATTATAGAAGGCCTAGATTGTCTCATTTTTCATTAATTAATTTCTTGTACTCATAAGATATTGTTATAGCATTTATTATTTTAATTCTGTAGGTCCCTATAATAGGTCCTCTGTGCAGTGTCCCTATAAAGCAATTCTCTTGATGAAGCTGAGTTGATTTTGTTTAAGAATCTGAAATATTGAACGAACCAATTTAACAAAAGCTATTGTTCTGAAAAATAAAGCTCAGCCGATCATAAGTATATTTCAGCATCTACAAACCAAAGTATTTGCACACCGTTTTTACAAGACTAGTTGATATGATGAACTAAAAACTTTATTCAGCTTCACAACAGTAAAAAGTAGTTTCAAATGAAAAAAATCCTTGTATATATAAAAATCTTGTTTTAATTAAACAAAAATTAAAAACGATAACATATTTTCGATAGTTCAATATTTCAGATTCTTAAATAAAATCAACTCAGCTTCATCAGGTGAATTGCTTTATAGGGACACTGCAAAGAGGACCTATTGTAGGTAGGGAATGCAAAACTGTTAAAAGTTTTCAATACCGGTATTTCGGTATTTTTGCTTTTAGAACCGGTAATACCGGTATTAGTATTATTTTAAATAAAAAATGTAAACAAAGTTAAAATTTACTTACTATAGATTATGTTATTATTTAGGGGTCGTACAAATATATGTCAAACACAACTAAACAACAAAACATTTATTTTTAAGAATAATTTAACAAAATTAAATCCAACTTTTTTAATATATATTACATTAATTCGTACAAGTGATTATTATTTTTGATGCAAATTGAAATATGATTTCAAAAGACATATATGATCCAATGTACCGTCGTCTAATCTCGATCTTATTTTTGTGGTTATATGTAGAGCAGCCGAAAAGGCTCGTTCTGACTCCACACTTGGTGGTATTGTTAACAAGTATTCATAAACAAGCTTTAGATGCACTCTCTAATTCCATGCTCTTCAAAAAATTGTAATTCTTTTTTAAGTTTATGTTCTATTTCTGATATTTTGTTTTGTTTCTTTGGGTTTGTAACATTCGTCATTGCTTTGTTAATCACATTCTCTAATTTGTTTTTTAATGAAACAGTTGAAAGACTATGTTTGATTTTAAATCAATTAATGCTTTTTGGACACAATACCGTAATTGGTAAAACCTTTCCAACATAATAAGTAAACTATTCCATCGTGTCATGACATTCCAATTGCAAATTCAATTCTTTTCCAAGTTGTAGTTCTATCCAGCAGAGATAGATTAGCAGAAATCAATTTTATTTCAGTGTCAACAGATCCAAACTCTAGGACAACACCATCATCTGTAATCTTTTTATCTTCTTCATTGTCAGTTTCTATGTCATTGTCATAATCTGCATCTCTATCACAATCGCTAGATTGGAATTCAATTGGTTCAATTTCATGGAATTCAATTGGTTCAATTTCATGAAATGCAATTGGTTCAATTTCAGCATCAACAGTCACTAAACTGGAGTTGTTTTTGTAAAGGACATCTCTAACAGCTAGGTGGATGCCATATGCAAAACATAACTGATGTTTGACTTCAATCAAATGTCCAACTTTTACCATAACTGATGCACCATCTATTAATATACTTCTTGCTATATTCAGTGACTATAGATTTTATTGTTGCAGCTAATTTTGGTAGATCATCATATCCTATTGTATGTAGCCCTTTTCTTATATCCACCGAAGAGCAGAAAATTCTAAATGGTAGTCCATCACTCGAAACCATACAAGCCAGAATTTCACATAAGTGTTCCTTCTTTTGATTTTGAAAATAATAATTTAATGTTTTTGGTAGCTTTTGACTAGAAAAAGACGCATCATTTTCATTATCTGCTGCTACATCGCTTTTAGTTTTTAAATTTATGTTATGTCAAATTTTCAAATGGGTGTGAAGGCTACTTGTGGATCCTCCCTGGCATTTGATTTCTTTTGTGCATTTCTTACATTTTGCTACTTGCTCTTGATTAGCAACTAAATAATAATTAACAACCGAATTAACGTCGCTCCCTTTTTTGTGTTATTGAAATATATTGGATTCCAAATTCATACTTTTGATTCTAAAACAATTATTTTAATTAATTAATAATTTTAAAAAAGTAAATTTTAAGTTATTAAGGAAACATAAAATAAGTTTTATTAATAGGAAATTTATTTATCTGTAGCATACAGATTGTGCTGATGTTTATGTATATAATATTTATTGGATATTGTACATAAATTTACAATCAAAATTAACACTAATATCGTTCACCAGTGCATGTAAATATTTTTGAGAACGAAACGTAATTGCAAAATGTTGCAAATCGAGCAACATATTAGTTGCTTAATTTACAAGACAAATATTTATTTAATCTTATCTAGGATACACATATTTCATAGTCTTAAACTCTAGGACTACCAAATTTACTTACGTATATTAATTATTGCACAAGTACAAAACTAACAACTTTCACTCTCTATTTGTGTCTACGTACTGACGGACGGGATCTCATTCTATTTTAAGTAAATGGAAGATTCCCCTAATCAAGCTTCCATGTAACGTGTATCAACTAGCGCTAATGTTCCAATACCGGAAATACCAGAATTTTTAAGGTGAATACCGGTATTAATACCGGCAAAAATTTGGATAGTATCCCGGTTTTCGGTATACTGGTATTGCATTCCCTAATTATAGAGACCTACAGAATTAAAATAATAAATAGTATAACAATATCTTATCAGTACAAGAAATTAATTAATGAAAAATAGGACAATCTAGGCCTTCTATAATCCTGTTGAAGTTGTGAAATACCTGACGAAAAAATGGAAAATATAAACACTTTTTAAAAAGGTTTTCAGTCAATTAATTTATATTATACTCCATTAATGGCAAGAATAATTATTTATTACCTAAATTAACCTTCTTCGATTTCTGGGCAAGCAAAGTTGGTTTTTAAAAATATATTTTTTTTTTTTTTTTTAAATATTTTTATTGAGAAATAATACATTTTGCCACATTTAAGGGCACTGAGTACTAAAGCTGAGTGAGGCTCATTCATACTATATATACAATTTGGAATTTGGAAGTGTGTGTCAGGTGATGGCACAACTGAACATTGATCGTACATTGATTTAGTGCAGATCTGCTCAGTATAGTGTTATCACGTGGTTTCTAGTAGCCAAAGCGGAACTTACCGATGACTTGGCTCTCGGTAGAGATCCGCTTCTGGGCTCCTCGAATCACCGCGGCTGTTTCCAAAAATATTTTTAGGAAATCAACTTTGCTTGCCCAGAAATCAGTGAGAAATCAGCATCTAATTCAGTGGGAAAAAATGGTTAGGCATTTTTTCCCAATGAATTAGATTTCCTAAAAATATTTTTAAAAACCAACTTTTCTTCTAACATAAATTCTTTGGAAAAAGTATTTGCCCACTTTGCTTAACAATAATATAATGTAATTCTCAATTGTTTCATCTGTATCATGTAGCCTTTTTAACTTTTAAACTAATCCCTAGATTTTCGTCATTCTGAAGACAAGTGACTTGTGTGTGGCGACTAATGAAAAAATTGTTTTGTTGAGAAGTCAAAAAAAGTTATACTTGAAGATTATGGATTTATAAGGGTTTAGTTTTTCCACTGTTAGGTATGTAAACTGATAATTCTGACAAGGCACTGATAATCCCTATGTTCGTATTCATATTTATTGTATTATATTCACATTATTGAAATTGCAAACAAAAACAAATGTAATACTAAAAAAATACTTTTATTTTACAACATATATATGAAATAGATGAAAACAAATGTAATAATAACAAAATAGTTTGATTTGAAATTGAAGTAGACAAAAAGAAATGTAATAATTCTCACAACAATAAGAAAACACGGTACTTTTTTTTTTTGGATCCTTCCCTTCCTCGCCTTTAAGGCTATACGAGGTTTTGCTAAGCCAAGGGGTGCGGGTGGGGATTTAAAAGACTCCCCCGGCACCGGGGCGCGAACTAGTGACTATTTTAAATCCATTGTCTCGTATATCAGGTTGCCAAGCAACGGTGGTGCTGTGCACACACGTTAGCCCGTTCAGCCACCCCACCCGCAGAAAACACATTACTTGTTTTTTTTCTAGTATGCAGTCGGGATCGACTTCTATCTGCCAATGATTATAACCTGAACACTGATAATTATGATGAGGCACTGATAATCCCTATGTTCGTACTCATATTATTGAAATTGTAAACAAAAACAAATGTAATAATAAAAAAAATGCTTTTATTTTACAACATATGTATGAAATAGACGAAAACAAACATACAAATAGACAAAATGGTGTTCCCCTAAACTGAGGAATGTTTGATTTTCAATGTGTCAAAGATAGTTGCAACCCCTCTTCAATAACCAGGCATAAATATGATTAAAAATTTATAGAACACTCTCTTTCGAAATGACCATATTTTAACATCACACGATCTTTTTTAAGTTTAGGATATAAGTATGTATCCGTTTCGATTTAGTTTTGTGAAGCGTTGTGTAAATATTGCAAAACTTGAGATATGTTTGTTCGTCTTTGCATTATTCTATACTTCAGATAATTTATCAATTCAATACTTATTTTACTTTTTTGTGCAACAAGCGTGTCAATCATAAATTTTAGAAGACACCATATTAAGCAACATTTGGTTTAAGAATGAGCAACTATCAAAATACATAAGATTTGGCTATAAACCTTCTTCAGTACATGCCCCAACATCTAGAGGCAATTATTGACTCTAATGAACTTTTCACTATGTAATAAATTAAGGTTTTATAATAATAATAAAAGGCAAAAGGCTAAGCAAACTGGAAGGTTCTCCAAAGGCTTTTACAAAACTTCCCTCTACCGATCGCCGTCTATACTGTCAGATCAGCCTTAACGCAATCTTCCCACCTATGCTTTGGTTAATCTCTCGGACGTTAACTTGTCAGCACAGCGTATGTTATCCTTTTAGGAATTCTTTTGTTTAGGTTAGGTAAAACAATTTTACACTCTCATTTTACTCACACAATGTAATCACCTTAATTATATTAACCGGATAATATTCACGCAATTCGGTGTTGTGTAACTGTCTAAATTCTACAGTTAACTCATCCTCCAGTCTGAATATTCTATGCAATATTTTATTTTCAAAAATTCTAAAACATTGTTCACCCTTAAAATGTCAGTGGCCATGTTTTGTATCCATAAAGAACCATAGGTACAATAATGGCACAGTTAATTCTAATTTTTAAGATGCGGGACAGTAGGCACAAACTAAGAAGTTTTGTCACCGGTTAACGTATCGGTGGCAGTGAGGACTTTATAAGCAACAATTTTATTCATAATGTCTATTACAAAATGCATCTAGCATACAGAGTAATACTATAAATACATGGTTGCCTACAAAAGTTCACTGCAGGTCTACAAGAGTATGACAAGATCATGGATCTAGGTCTCTTGGCAAGTGCATGACTTCAAGAATGTAACTGTAAGAGTAATTAGATAGGATCATAAGGGTTATATACTCTAATATAGTGGGGGGTGAAGGGATTCTGGAAGGTCTGGGAAGCATGGGAAAGGAGTTATGAGAAGTTATTAACAGTTGATATTCTTATTCTTTTGTATTGGTAATGGGTCTTGTGTGCAGTTGGTGCCTTTTAGATAATTATTCCTAAGCTATCAGAGATAGCTTTGTCCTTTTGTCCTTTGAATTATGGGAATCGAAAATATACGATTCAAAAGTTGCAACAGTTAATTCACTCAGTTATTAAAATAAAGTTTAAATTAATATTAATATTGATGTAGAGATGGTTGACCGTTGATATAATATGAGAAGGAGTTGATTGGGGGGTGCGGTCAACTCCTTCTAATATTAATATTATTATTTGTTATGGATTAAGTCCATTCTGTAACTACTTTCCTCCTTAAGGCACGAAACCTCTAAGTGCAATGTTTAAGTCATATCAGTTAGAATATGTTGATGGTCTTCTTTAGTGTTCTAAAGGAAAGCCTGGATATATGGAGGATTGGGAACAGCTACATTTTTGCTTACAATAACACTTAATATTATAACATTACCTAAAACAGCTAATAATATAAAATCCTAATAGTAATTAATATACAGTAATACATTATTTTTGTAAAAAATATTAAAATAAAATGACTCTATAAATAAGAATTTAGATATTTAAGATTGTATAGTTTCTGATTAACTATCAAGACATAAATAAATATTTTCTTAAATTTATAAATTTGTTCCTTTAATTTTCTTAAATAAAATAACATATATTATTTAAAAGATGAAATTTGCACGACATTATTTTGAAATACATACAGGATATTTAATTTCATTGATTATTATTATTTCTAACACTTTATACTTTTATTAGTTATCATTATGTACAAATTTGTTAATAGAACTATTGTTTGCAAAACTTACTCCATTAAAATAAAATTTAAAATGAAAATGAATATTATTAATTTATAATCTTTGTATATTGTATATAATCTTTAAATGTAACATAAAATCATTCTTAGCAAATCAGATATATTTTGTGAAGATTATACAATTTTTTATACACAAATAAGCCATTTTCATATGTCATCATTCCTTCTGCCTAACATTAATATATTTTTTATTTCTTTTTTATTTAGTAGCCAAAGAACATTTGATTTGACTAGTGTTTAATGGTACATTATTTTTTATGTCAACAATATCTCAAATAATTGACAGACTCTTTAGGTATGACACAATTTTTACTTTAACTTACCAATATATGAAATATATTGTAAAAGTAAGTATTACGATAATTTTGAGGTCACCTGAGTCCAAATAACCAAGTCCCTCAAAATGGTCTGTGTGTGTGTGTGTGTATATATATGTGAACAGTCTATCTAGCTCAAAAATGAAAAGTTGTACTAAAGTGATATTACTTATGTAAGATAGGTATATGCCTTCGATGTTACAGCAACGTTTTCCTTAAAATCGGCTTACCAGAAGTGCCACTTTATATCAACGGTTAAACATATCATTACAATTTTCTCAAAAAACGGCTCAAGGATTTTGAATAAAGTCGGTGAAACATTGTATAATTAATTGGTCTTTAATATCAATTAGGTCTTATCCCCATTGATGTCGTTTTACAGGGCTTAAATGCCCACTGTTCGTATAGATCTTCCTCTTAAGTACCTTTAATATGGTTTATTTAAAAAAAAAACTATCTCTCTTTTATTGACAGAAACTATAAAAAAAGGCTAAATATAACAGTCAGAAGTTATACGTATAATATATCGTTGGAAAGCGGAGAATTTTAGAAAAAATAATATTGAATAAATAAAGTTGTAGAAGGTAACACAGAGTGACGAAAAAATATAAATAATAATTTCATGTAAATCATTTATATTTACATAAATTATTTATACTATTCCATTATACTTGTGTGAAAGAAGAAATGAAATATAAAAATATTTCATGGATATGTTTATAACCTTAAATACATTTACTGTAGTTTAATAACTCTAGATATGATATTATATTTAGACAGGCGCATTAGCCGTTTATTCTAAAAAATCATCAAGTAACCTTATAGGAAATTGAATTAGGAAATAATGTGATGAATTTTTTCTTTGTGAAATCCCAACATTATAACTTACAATTAGTGCGACAACTTTTGACCTATCCATGGCAGGCAATGAAAAATAATATTTTAATAACTAATAGTCCTACGATCCATTATCATTTATAGGTTAAATATTCAGACGTACTTTCAAATCTCTCTGGGCATATATGAACCTTTCGGTTGTCAGAATGACTGATTTCAACATTCTTTATTATTAATTTCAGTGATGTTTTTAATGGCAAAATTTATACCTTTATTCACAGTTCTATTTTTCAACACAGCAATCACCTACTCTGGAATCAACTTGCTCACTGTCCGTATAGATATAACTTTAACAACTAGAAATATCACTAAAATGACATTATTCTAAAATGTTGAAATTGGAGTTAGTCATTCTGTCAACTGAAAGGCTCAGAGACTGAAGTTATGTGGTTTATAAAACTAGACTTTTATTGCCTACCGTTGATATAATAAATAGACTTTTTGTAATTTTTAATGATGTTAATGATTTGTTATCTGTAAGCTTTAAGCTTTAGCTCCGTTTAAAGTGCTCTTCAAAATTTTTATAATCCCCAACATTGGCAGAAAATAATTTCTATTCAAAGTAGAGAGTGAAAGTTTTTTAATTGAAAGATTGGTTTTGAACATTGAAGATGTAAAGTATAACTGTTTAGTTTGTCTTGGTAATATAAGATACCCTGTCAATGGTGACTTGAAATTAAACTATTTTAATTTTTATCCCAAGATGTGTTGTCGTTCAAAGGCAGAATACTAACATTTAAATTAGCGTTGAGATTCTTGCATATAATATTTTTGTAGGTTTTATAAAATTGTTTATTTTTTTTTTTTATAATATAATACTGTTTTTATTTTTAGAAGATGAAATTTTGTTTAATGTATCAGAATTTTGGTTGTTCATGGCTTCAGATATTTTTTTCTGTTTTGGTTTCCTTAACGTTAGAAACGTACTTATCATTTTTAGCTTCTCTATCTATTAGAGTTAAATTAAGTTTCCGCTTCTAACATGGTTATCTTTGTATTCGATTCAATTTGTAATTCATTATTGTTAACACTTATGTTTCGGTCTTGATCAGGTGTTATATTAACTATTATTTTTTTGTGCTTTTTTCCGCATTCATATTATTTTGATTGGAAATTTTATTCTCAATATATTTCATAAAACGTATTTTTCCTTTTTTTTTTATTATTAAGGCCTTATATTTTTCCGATTTTAGTGAAGGTAATCTTATATCAAGATTTCCTGTTTCATCATTATTAAAATTAGTTATTTGTTCGGAAGTTTCTTTTTTCTTGGACTTTAGAATGATTTTCGGTTGTTAATTCTGAGGTTTTTAAATTAGCTTCAGTTTTAGTTTTTGGGAGTTAATTAATCAACCTACTGTTGTGAAATGTTATTGTTAAAAGGTCAATAATTCTTCCACGCTAACAAACCTAAAAGCAGTATTTATATATTGTGCCTTTTTGGTTAGTCTCGACAGAACCATATTTGACAATCTGTCATTAACTTCTTTCAATGGGTTATTTTCTGCAAAAGCAGTATTTTGGACTTCCCTTACCCTATATATAAATTTATATAGATCATACGAATTACAATCATAAAAAGGGAAATTTTGACAATTTAATTCTCTCTCTAATAGAAACGGTGCCATATTGATAACAATTTTCAAATACTAACTTTTCATTATCTCTTCGGCATATTCCTTAGTCTATCAATATTGATATTAATACATTAAAAAAATTAATTATTCAATAAATTTAAAGATATAAAAATGACACATTAAATAAAAATTACTAATAAAGTTATAACTACTGTGACTCGAACGTTGCTCCTGGATCTGCAGTGAAGTCTAGCAGGACATCTTGGGTGAGTAGTGCCTTGGCTGAAAATTACAAATTGAATTGAAAAGGTTATTTGGTGTACAGTCTTATAGCCCAGTAACTTTGTACATCGTAAGTTGCATCGAACAGGGGTAGAAAGTTTCTTTTTATTTTATGTATGGGATGTGACTGAGATGCCTAATCCAAGTTTTCAACCTCGGCGCCCCTCCCCCAGATTTCTTTTAAAAAACCCAAAATCTGTTAATTTTTCACACTTTTTTTTTTTCATTGTAACCATGATGGAGCACATTTTTGACAAAAAACATTCTATACATTTTTAAACAAGATGAAATATGCTACAATTTAAGGCCTTAACAGGCTCAGTAAATCAAATAGTTTTTGAGTTACAGATTTTTTATTTATTTTCAAAGTTTGGAAAATTTTAAACTATTTTTCATTTTTTATCATATGCCATTGTCTTTTTTCTTCAATAACCTGTCTGTGAAGTAAAAATTTATTCATTTTCACATTTTGATGGGAGGAAGGTTTGGTGGGTGAGGGTAGTTATGGGTCGATTCCTTTGATTTGAGTTTGTTTTTCGGTCCCCCAAGGTTCAGCAGTTGGCTTAATTTCGTCATAATTGGTCTTTTATTAAAGCTGGATAATCAGACAATAAGAAAACATTAAAAAATATTAAAAACTAATTGGCTTAGGCAATATAAAACATCCGTAAAGTCAATTTTTTTAACAAGTTGAAAATCAAGCGTCGTTTGTAATTAAACGGCCAACAATAACGCAAAATATGCTTAAATAAAACATCTGGAGAATATATTTCTCTTTCTAAAATACTGATTACTTTTTAAAATATTCGAAGCAGTTCCGTAGAAAATGCATTTAAGCGGAAGAAAAGCGGTACTGGCGTGGGTGCCTACAGGCCTCTACCACACCATTCAGTATGTGTCTGCATCGACCCCTTAATATCATCCAAACTGCTCCAGCATTTGACCCCTTTTTAGCTGCATCATGAAATATTCTGTTCATCTATCTACTATATATTCGTTTAGCCATATAATTGATACTGATCCTTGTTTTCTTTTCTGAGATTTTACCACTTCCTTTCTCGTTCGCTTACTGTATTTTTCCAATTTTTGAGTTCAATTTCGCGTTTTCACTCATTTTGAGACCAAATACTAAAATCAGTTCCGGTTAGATAGAAGAACTCACAGCTTCGCTCTTTTAATCTTTCATTGTGCAGAAAGAATAATGCATTCAATATTAAAATTACCTATTTTTTTATGATATGGTCCAACTTCCGAACAAAATAAAGGAAATAAATTTTTTTTTTTAATTTGTGATGAATGAGTTTTACTAAACGACCAATCAACTATTCATTATATATGATTCAGATCAGGTACATATTATTTTAGTTTATAAAACAGGTATTAATATGACTCATTTCCGGAGAAGTATATACAGTTTAAATTACCTCTAAAAATCAGTAAATAACAAAACAAAGTGTTAAATTGTAAACGTTAAATAAATAATTCAAGATATTGAGCAAAGTATTTTTGAATTAAGTTTTATTATTATAATTATATCATTATTACAATAGAGGCCTTCTTAAACGACCTCCGTATAGAATAAAGGAAATTATATTTGAAAAAAATAAATAACAAATTGAAACATAGTGAAGGTTCCCTGAATGTTTCTATATGTAATATTCTATAAATAGTTTGAATTGTTTTTTGAGATAGTAATCATATCTGTGCCCATGGAAGAGCTTTTTAACAAGGTCAGCCTAAAATATGTTGGAAACATGGCATAATTATATAAAATGATCCTCTTTTATATTTTCAAAATACTGATTTCTTTGTAACTACTATTGCTAAAAAAGGCAAACTTGGAATTATAAGGGTCAGTCTAAAATATGTTGGAAACATGGCCTAATTATATAAAATGAGCCTCTTTTAGATTTTCAAAATACTAATTTCTTTGTAACTATTATTTTGATAAACAAGGAAAATTTGGAATTATAGGGGTCAGTCTAAAATACAACCAGTTTATTATCTTTTGAAAATATTACATCCAAAAAAATAAGCTCATTAGGATAAATATCCTTAATTATTTTCTTTATGCATTGCACCCACTTTTGTTGGCACCTTTACACTGAAGAAAAAAACCTAGCTAGATTTAACTGCTCCAACTTTCTCTATTTAGGCATCATAAGTGCTGTAGAGAAAATTATTAGGGAATTCAATCCTACGTCCAAAATATCTCTATAAACTCTGTACGTGGCACAAACTAACAACTCTATCTAACTTAAATTTTATGTTAACTGCTAACCAATTCTTTAATTGAAAAACTTTTCAATTGAGAATGAAATACATCAAATTCACACGTAAATTTCTAAATATTTTATTTAAAGAAACAATTCAACTAAAAGAGATGGCAGTTAGGGGAAGGAGTGTTTGAGCAGGCTAACGCGATGCTCGGCTACCTGATAAACCAAAGATTAGGAATTTAAATCCTGGTGCTGAAGAGACTTTTTAGCTCTGGCGTAATTTTCCCGCTCTCTCCTACCCAAAATCCTGTATAGCCTAAAAGGAGAGGGAAAAAAGGGATATCAGTCGGAAATAACAAGTTATTTTGTTTCTCTAGCCATGTTTTGATTACAAAATTTCCTTAAAGCATCTTTTTCATTTTTAATGATTCATTTTTTGGATGACTCATCAGGGATTTAGATAAAACCCTCCTGACTTTGCAAAATAATTTTTGTTAATCACCAACTTGAAGTAATCACTTCATAATAATTAAATTTTAAACAACTCATCTGCCATTAAATATATCTGTGTTTATACAAGATGTTGGAAATTTAGATTTTTTTTTTCATCTATGTAGTGTTGATTAGATGACTAGAATCTAGATTTGTCGTAAATTTACATTTTCTGGCATTTATAATTCCATTTAAAAATACCTTTCAGTGTAAGGTGCCTTATGTGGTTTAGGATAGTTTAGTCTTTATTATGGAAAGATCAAGATGGAAAGACCAAACTAGCAATGTATCAATGTAGTTTTTAAAAGGCACGAGCCACTATAATTGTTTCAATTTGTCATCATGTATGTTCTCTAATTGGCTCTTTGTTATTTTAAGTAAGAATTGTCCAGTTAATAAGTGGTAAATTTATTTTTTCATAAAGAGCAAATCTGAATATGCCAAGTATATGTTATTGTCTTTTAAATAAATATTAAATATAATTAACACTATTATTTATAACATATTACAGCCCTCAATACTTTTTTCCATTACTTTATTTAAGATAATAAGATTAGTATTTTAATAAAATGCATCATAAGGTAAAAAAGAATTAAAATTTTTATTATTGTAATAGATAATAAAAATACTTTAAATCGATCTTGATAATTTTAATATTCATCTCTAAGAGTTACGATTTTTTTTTTAATTGACAAATATTAAAATTTGAACTATTAATTAAAATAGATGAAACCTTGGTGAGTGATTTGAAGCAGGATCAGTCTTTGTTGGAGGCTCTGGCAAGAAGAATTCTTCAGTCTTTAGGATAACCTGATTTGTACCAATTATGAATCTTTTTCAAATGTAACAACTTTGATGAAATTTTATGAACGCAGATATTTCTGGAACATCATCCAAAATTATATATTTCATTTTACTAACTAAAAATTGTTTATAATCACTGATACTAACAGTCACTTCTTTTAGGGCAGTGACAAAATGGTATGGAACATTTTCGAATCTTAGTTTTCAACGGAAATACATGTTTGAGGTAGGAAAATTACATTTATTTGTTTAGTAGCCAGGGATTCACGTGTACCAAAATATATATATATACACTGACAGGCAAAAAATTCCTCCCACTTGATTTTTTCATGTTTTCATCTAAAAATATTTCTGCCTCTTGTAAAAAAAGTTGTATTTGTATATAATACATGGTATTTGTAGATAATACTCAGTATTTATGGAATTTTATAATCTTTTTTACCTTTAAAAATTAAAATGTGATTGGGTAAGAAAGATTAGTGAAAAAAAAATTGAAAAACAAACCATTATTATTCTAAAAGAAATTAATTACATCATCGTTTAGTAGCTTGTGTTTCCTCCTCTTGTCTTCACTACTTCTTGAAGACGCCTCGGCATACTTTCCACCAGTCGGGAAATGTCCCTTTGCTGGAGGATAGCCCATTCCTTCCGAAGAGCCCTTTTTAGGTCCTGCAGTGTATCAGGAAGTGTTGCACGCGCTCTTATTCGTCTTTCGAGGTTATCCCATAAATGCTCAATGGGGTTCAAATCTGGAGAACGTGCTGGCCAGGCTAAAACCTCAATATTGTTCTGTTGAAGGAACGTCTGCACTATGCGGGTGACATGTGGGCGTGCATTAGAATAGAACGATTGCCGATTTGTTGAGGATCGGTAACACATGAGGTTCCAAAATCTCATCTACGTAGCGAATGGCCGTCAAAGACCTTCCACGGACAACAACCAATTCTGTGCGGCGCTTCATTGAAATCTCAGCCCATACCATTAAGGAACCACGTTGGAAAGGTTGGCTCTGGGAAAAATTATAGGCTCCATATCTTTCGTTTCTTCTTCTCCACACCCTTTCACGCCTGTCAGGAGATCGAAGAGCGAATCTTGACTCATCTGTAAAAAGTACAGCACTCCATTCGTCCATAGTCCAATGGCTGTGTTCTCGAGCAAAAGCTGTGTTACTCTGTCAGTTCTGGTCAACTCTGGTTCTCTTACTGGACGAAAAGCCATTAATCCATACTCATTTAATCTTCTCTGAGCGGTACGTTCAGAAATTTGTACACCTCGAACTTCTTCGAGCTGATGAATCGCTTGAACAACAGTAAGGTGCCGGTTTTGTAAAATTCTCAAAGTCAAAAACCGGCCATCCCGTGGTTCTGTTACTCTAGGCCGTCCAGAACCGGGCCTTCTATTGTAAGAACCAGTTTCCCAAAAACGCCTGACGGCGTCTCGTAAAGTTTCATATGGAACTCCGATGGCATTACCTGCATATCTAATGGAACGTCCATCATCAATAAGTGCCACACCACGTGCAACATCCTCAGCACTAAGAGGCATTTTTAAACTTAATATTGAAAAAATTAAAAGCCGGAGACTAAGAAATATGCTGCAAGAAACGGCACTGAACTGAACAGGAATGATACTGAATAAACATTTTGATTCCGTAGAAAGTAAACATTGGAATCTAGAATCATTTCATTGAATTAAGGATTAAGGATTATTGTCCTCTATATTAACATTCCTAATTGAAAACAAACAAAAAGGTTACCTATTTATTCATTAAAAACAATAGACTAATCCAAAGCAGAAATATTTTTAGATGAAAACATGAAAAAATCAAGTGGGTGAAATTTTTTGCCTGTCAGTGTATATATATATCCCTAACCCAGCCCCCCCTTATATATATATATATATATATAAGGGGGGCTGGGGTAGCCGTACGGGATAAGGCGCTTGCAATAGGTAATCAAAGTTAGGCAACGTCGAGCGTGGTTAGTACTTGGATGGGTGATCACCCGATTTGGGCGACCAGCCACCAGGGAAAGCCATGATGCCCGAGTCTCTCCCTCCCCCGGGTATGTGAGGCCCATCAGACTACTGGAGGCAATTCACACCGACTGGGCGGAGGACTGATGACCCTACCCTGTGTACTTAAAATCGGAAATCGGGGTGTGGTTTACCAGGATGTTAATAGCCCCCCTCAGGTTCGGTCAATCGACGGTCTGTTTCGTGGAAAGAAATATAGGTCCTCGTGCGCCTGCTGACTCCGAGCAGCCATAATCCATGGATCTAGACCGATTTGTCACTGTCCTTGAACCCGAGAAAGTCGGTGGGAAGGACATTGTCAGATTGGCCCTAAAGGGATCGGCTAAGGAGCTACGGGTGACCTGCTGCTGCACCATGGAAACCATGGTTTGTAGCAACGTGAGGTTGGGTGACCCCTTCCGAGCTATCTGAACTTCCGCAAGTATCACACATCTGTAAGGAGACTACATCTCGCGGCCAAAGATCTTCATGGTCTGTAGTGCCCACCGAAAAAAAAAAAAATATATATATATACATAAATGTAGGAAAATTACATTTATTTGTTTAGTAGCCAGGGATTCGCCTGTACCAAAATCAGAATTCAGTCAACAAAAAAAAAAAAATTAACTTCCTAACATTTATTTGATGTATACAACATTTAAATAGAATATAAATAAGATCATGGATATGACACAAATAACAGATAAAGGTATATACCTTGGGTTCAGAATAAATCCGCAGCTGCTACTTTCCAAATGGTCAGAATCCGGAATGACTGCACTGAGTCAGCTACAGAGGACTAATGAATGAATCAACCAAGCCACAAGTCAAATGGTGAAGGCGGGACTTGCCCCTATCTGTTTGAGTGGCTATCACCAGTCCACAATCAAAGGGTTAAACTCTTGTCTTTCAAGTCTGGTGTGTGGGTTTCAAGTCAGGCTTTGGTCTAAAAGGAAGCTGAGATACTGGAGAGTGTCTGAGGTGGGAGGTGGGATAGAGTTCAATAGGATTGGTGGGCAGTATCGATGTCGGAGGGTGAAGGTGATATGTTTAAATTTTATTTCATTAACTTTGACTGTCTTTGAGTGCCAACTGTTGTACCACTACTCTATCAATGATAGGTGTCTGCAGATCGAGGGATGCAATTTCAGGATCTGTGTGGGAGGACAGGATGGTGGTATCATCTGTGAATGTTGCTAGGAAGGTATTGGGATCTTTAGTGATATTAGCAGTGAAGAGAATATATAAAATAGGACCTAAGGCACTGCCTTATGGGACGCCGTCCTCAACTGGGTAACACATGCAAAATTCTGAGCCACAGCCTATTTGGAAGGAACAATTGATGAGTTAGGATTTCAGGACTAAGTACAAGGATTGAGGTAAGAGGGTTGTTTTGATCTTGAAAAGCAAACTATCGTGCCACATTTAGTCGAAAGGTTGCGCTACGTCCAGAAAGGCACGAGTACAATATTTTTTACTTTCAAGAGCAAAGGATATATGGTCAATACATGTAGGCCTTGTTGAACTGTTGAGTGTTGTGACCGCAAACCAAACTGATATTGAAGGATATTTTGGGATTCTATTATGGGGAGGAATCGCTTAACAAGGATTTTTGAAATGATCAGGAGCAAGCTTATTGGTCTACAGGATGAGATATTATTGATAGATTTATCTGGTTTAGGGAAGAGGATAATTATGGAATGTTTCTACATCAGAGGAAAGTGGGTGGTGCGGAGGATACAATTATATAGGAATGTAAGGAATTTACCGGCTTTTTTGGGAAGTTTTCCAAGAATCTGGGAAGTAAGGAGATTGTATCTATATACTTAGAATTTCTAGGCCTTAGGATTTTTATAAGAAATTTGACCTCAGAGGGGTTGACAGCTTTAGGAGGCAAGGACAGCGGGATCGGTGAAGACAGAAATTCTTTAACTTTGGCAGTGTTGGTGGAATGGCGTTTGGGATGGGGAGTGATTGTGTTGGATAGATGTTTAGCAAATTCTTCTGCTCTATTCTCATTTCATAGATTAGAAGTCATGCTGGAAGTCATAAGGATTCAAGCTATTTTTCAGAGTATTTTGAGTACAAAAATAAAATATAGTATCAACTTATATTATATGTATTAGAAAATAAAATATAGTATCAAATTATATTATATTTATTAGAAAATAAAATATAGTATCAAATTATATTATATGTATTAGAAAATAAAATATAGTATGAAATTATATGTATTAGAAAACACTAATAAGAAAAACACCAAGCCAACAAGGCCTCATAGCAGGTTATAACAACATATATTTTCCACTAAAATTCTTAAACAAAATACAAAATATGAAAAATTCAATACAAATACAATGGTATAAAAATATTTAAAAAAAATATAAATATGAAATACAGTCTTCTTTTTCTAGTGCTACTTGTGCATACATTTGTTCAAATACTTCTCTTCTATCAGATGTACTCCTTGAATTCACTATCCATGACCACAAATTCTTCTTTCGGGTTCTACATGTTGTTCCAGTGGCAACACTGAGCTTTCTTAAATCATAAACACATTTAAATTTTATTATAAATGTCGATAGTTTTTAAGGATTTAATGAGTTGTGAAGTCTGGGTTCTGTCTCAATATTTGTTCTGGTTCTGTGGAGGATCTGTAGGAGTCGTGAGCCATACACTCTGTTGGCATGTG